AAATTATTTATTTACGATACTCTATTTTTTTAAAGAAATAAAAGACACTTTATAGATTCTAATCGTCTCAATATTTGGTGACTGATCTGATTTAAATATATAGAATTAAAGTAAATAACTGAACAATGTTAGTTAAGCAAAACAATTAAGACGAACCAAGTGAAACTTATAAATGCTTATTGATTGATTATGAAAGTTATACACTTGGGGTAAGGATCGACGAATTGAATCTAACAACGTGAACAGATCTCAATTTGGAGCAAGTTGAATTGAAAAGTATGTTTTACCTATACACGTTATTTTAAATTACAGAACAAAAACCCTAGGGTATATATAGGATCTTTCGCCTGCTTCGATCGAAATCGCCGTCGTCATCCTCGCTCCACTTTCTTCTTCGATTCGCAGACATGGGTTACGATGGCAAGGCAGAAGAGTCCAACCGGCGACGATCTACAGAGGCGACGACGGGGAGCATTCTGGGAACCTCGAACCAGCGAGCTCCGACGACGTCTGGCCAAATCCGAGCATCAACTCCAGCGAATTCTTCTCTGGCAAATCAGCAACGCGACAGCTCTCAATCCAACGGCGAGTTCCGGCAGCGACGCCGGTGACTGACCACAGTGGACAAGCAACGATTTTGCCGGCAACCCCCTGTCCAGCGACCACTGTTCCGGCGAAGTCCAGCAGCTCGGGCAGAGTAACAGCCAGCATCCAGTGGCGGCGGAGAGCCGGTAACTCTCCGCCGAACTGACAACCGTGGTCACCCAGCAACTCCGGCGACCTCCGGGCCATGAAGGTGAGGTTCGGGCAGTTAATTTTGACCATGGACAGTGATGATCAGATCAAGCAGCAACGATGACAGATCCGGGCGGGCTTGGGCAGTGACGGGCTTGCTTGGGCAGCGATACCCGGCTGTGCGTGACGCCGACTACCCTCCATTCGGGTCAAGTTCTATCTCTTACCATCTAGGTTTGAAATTCCGTTTATAATTGTTATCGTGATTGATTTATGTGATTTATCTTTGTGATTATTGATTGTGATTTGAGGATAGTTGTTGAATCGAAAAGGGGTACTTCGCATGACTTAACCCAATCTATGTTTTTGGAGGTGTTCATGATGTTGTTATGGAAAATATGAATAACATCTTTTTTTGCTTTGAATGTATGGTGCTGGATTTTGTGGCCTACCCAATTGATTCATGTCTTGTGGACAATTCATGAATGTTTTAACTGTAATATTTTGGACCTGTTGTTGTGGCTACATTATTTTGCTCGTGGTTTTGCTGCCTTTCTGGACTGCCCAAATTAGTGTACCATTGTGGGAATTTGCTTGTGCGAATTTGCCACCTTTGTGGAATGCCCAACTGATTGCATGGTTAGGTTTATTGCACTTAGAAGTTGTTGTTGTGCTGCTTCTATGGCCTTTGAATCACTGGTCTGGTGACTGTGGCTTGGACAGTGGGTTTGTTTGTGCATTCAAATTACTAAGTTCTCCATCATTGTTGCTTGTACACTGTAATATAATATAATGACTGAATCTTATGGATGATGACACAGGTGACCATTCTCACACTATGAAAGAATCACTTTGTTCATCGCGCTCCCCCTCATCCAAGGTTTTTGTCAAGTACACCAAAGCCTTCGGGTTACTGTCATCAGCACCTCTGCCGACAAAAAACAAGAGGCAATAGAACGTTTTGGTGTTGATTCCTTCTTGATCAGTTGTGACCCTGAACAAATGCAGGTAAGTTATGATTAATTTATTCATAATTAGAGAGTATTATTATTCATTTCGCTAAGAGTTCTGATGATGATATGGTTTATAATTGGTTTTGGTATATATGGAAAAAAGGCTACAATGAGCACACTTGATGGGATAATAGACACAATTTCTATAGTTCATCCTCTTACGCCACTACTAAGCTTATTGAAGACCAATGGTAAGCTTGTAAGCTTGTATTTGTTGGTCTCCCGGAGAAACCCCTTGACTTGTTGGCGTTTCCCTTGATCATGGGTATGTAATATTAGCCACCCTTCCATTCGAGTGTTGTACATATCTCTGCTCCGCCTTGGCATTGATCTAAAATGAACTAAATGACATTAATTTTATGTTTTGATTGTGGATCGCAAGAAGAAAATTGGTTCCAGGAAGTGGCATCGCTGGAATAAATTAAAGGAGACTCAAGACAACATAACATCACGCCTGATGTTGAGATTGTGCCGATAGACTATGTCAACACCGCCATGGAACGCCTAGCCAAAGCCGACGTGAAATACGGATTCGTATTGGATTTTTTCACAGAGGAATAGGATGGATTGAAAAGGTAGGGATGTAGAATATGCA